AATGAACGACAGACAGACAGGATGAACGAATGAACGACAGACAGATAGACAGACAGAACAGCTGAATGAACTAACAACCAACAGACAGGCAGAATGCACGAAAGAACGAACAAACAAAAGAATGACAGAACGAATGAATGAATGACAGATAGACAGAACGATTGAACGAATGAACGACCAACAGACAGGCAACGCGAACGAATGAACGAACGAACAAAAGAACGACAGATAGACAGACAGAATGATTGAATGAACGAATGACCAACAGACATGCAGAACAGACAAACAAACAAACGAAATAACAAACGAACGATAGACAAACAGAATGAACGATCGAACAAACAAACAAATGAAATAAGAAATGAACAATAGACAGACAGACAGAGAGATAGATAGACAGACAGACAGACAGCACAAATGATCAAACGAACGATCAACCAACCAACAAACAAATGAAAGAACAAACGAACAACAGACAGACAGAGCGAACGAATGAACGAACGAACAAAAGAACGACAGAACGAACTAATGAATAACAGATAGATAGAAAGACAGACAGAACGATTGAACGAACGAACGAACAACAGACTAACAAACAAATGAAAGAACAAATGAACGATAGACAGACAGAATGACAGAATGAACGATCGAACAAATAAACAAATGAAAGAACAGAACAGATACAGAACAGAAAGACAGAATGACAGATAGACAGGCAGAATGAATGAATGAATGAATAATTGATAGAAAGACAGACACAGAACAAACGATCAAACAAACAAACAAATGAATGACAGACAGAATGAATGAACAAACGAACGAATGAATGAACGAACAACAGAAAGACAGAACGAACAAACAACGGATGGATGGATGGATGGATGGATAGATATAGACTGATTGATGAATGGGTTGATAAATTCAGTGTGTTGAGTTCCCAGTGACTCTTGAGTTGAACTCTCTAATCACTCTAATTGTCCTCTGACTGCCCTGTTTCTCTTCCTCCACATGCATCATATTTAAACTTCTATTTCTATTCTGCTGTTTTTTGCTTTGAAAATCCTTTTGTTGACTCTCTTTTCGTCTACGAGCAGAAAGCCTGGACTCCGCCAGCGTTTATGAAGCTCGTCACTCCGCCGGTGTTCTCTCGCTCTCGTAAGCTTCTCTCTCTCAGGCACAGAGCGTCTCTGATTAATGACTCTCTCAAAGCAGCAAACTAGAGTGAAGCTCAAGCAGGTGCTGATCAAACCTCACGCCACGCGTTTGATCTGCACACAGCAACAAGTCGTGTGTTCAAAGGTGACATTCTCACGCCCGACGACGTCTTCAAAGCGCTCCATTAGAACAGACGATGCCGGTGCCCTGCGTCGAGTTGAAAGATAATGTAAATGTCAACTACATCTTCATCTATTATATGCTGAATGATGTGTGCTTTTAACTTTCATTGTGCTGGCAGACACACTAACCTCAGACACACTAACCTCAGACACATCGATTCTCTGCTTAAACCGTTTCCTCTTATCACCTCCTCTTGTAGCCTGTGGCTGCGTCTCAATCTGCACACTACTTCAGCAGTAAGCACACTACCCAGGGAATCAGATATTTGTGGGCCGGTTACATGAAGCTCTGAAACGTTTGCTCACTAGACATTCCCCATTTCAGGGCATTGAATAATCATAATTGAATAAGTGTTTAGTAAACACGGTCCTTACTAGTAGTGATGGGAGAAACTAAACTTTGTAAAACTCTGAATCAGCTGATTCACAAAAGCACTTGAAAGGCCACACTCTGCTCAGAAGGCTTCAGTAAATGCAACAAAAACTCAGCCTAGACATGCATAAAAAGTGCAATTAATAAATCATCTAATACTATTAAATATGTGTTTTTTCTTCATTTGCA